TTCACCAATGTAAACTCCCCCGGAGGAGAATGACAACCAAATGGCAGGGGTGGTTTTAATTTTGTCTTTATTATTATTATTTTTTAATCTTTTTTTTTTCTATTCTTATATTTTTTTTCAATGTTTATTTATTATTATCTTTCACTTTTTTTCTTTTCAATTTTTATCTTTTACTTTTTTATCTTATTATCTTTTACTTTTTATTTCATTATTTTTTTTTACTTTTTAAAATGTCTATTTATCTTATTATCTTTTACAATTTATCACTTTTTTTACTTTTTACCGTTTATATACAAGCGTTCTGGTGCCTGTATAGCCGCCCGATTGCTTTTATTATGCATGCGGGTGTGCGCCACCCCCCCTCCCCTGCAGATCCTGAGGTGCGCTGTGCCCGGTGCGGGCCTGACCCAGCGGCTCTGTGACCAGAGATCAGAGGGAGATCAGTACACGATCTCTCCGGCGGTCTCTGAATGCAGGAAGTGATGTACATTACATCACTTCCTGCGTTCAGCTGTCATTCCCAGCTACAGACTGGATCATGCCTCTCGCCGTGTTCCCTTTTGTTATCGATAACCTCTCCCTGTTCCTACCACTTACCGGCGGTGTGTGTTTTTTATCCCAGTGGCCTGTTGTGTCAGGGGGAAAGCTGTGGAGTTTAGCCATTTTCGAGTAGGAAATATGCTTTCCTCAGACACTACCAAAGTCTCTAAAACCCTGAAGGTGGATCAGACTGGCAGCCAGAGCGCAGAATACTAGTCAAGCCAGGGGTAGCGGCAAAGCCAGCCTGCCACGGACGGAGAAAAGAAGACTCCACTCCGGAGCATTGCAAAGAGTGGAGGTCTAACATGGCATTGAACAAGCAGGCACAGTCCCATGACTGCAGTCTTGGAATATTGCTCACAGCATCTTTGGTTCTGGTACACGGAGTCTCGGCAGAAAGCCACAAAGGATCCGAGGAACTTGCTTCTCAGAAAAACCAACATCAAGCAGCAAAGACTAAAGTTTCAATGATTCCGCGTCTGGAAAGAACACATTCAGGAGAAGGGACGTTCCTTAGAGGACAGTGAGCGGCAACGGGGTCGCAAGAGGCTGAGTTGCCCATCAGGGGAGAAAAGCTTAGAGTATATTCCCAGGACTCATTGGAACCGAGGAAGCCGCTTGGAGGAAAGGGGAAAGGTGCTGACCTCTACTAGAAGGAAGCCCAGAAGATCGGGTCTAGCTACTACCAGCACTGTGAAAGGAAGCGCACTTCTTGGTGGAGTTTGTTGGAGGTGGCGAAAGGCAACCTGAGGTGCCACAGAGTGGTAATGAGAAATTGACAGGCTGATGCCTTGTTTCAAGTCAAGAAAGAAGCTTTCCCAGTCCCATGACTTGAAATGATCCTCACGAGAAGGGACGTTCCTTAGAGGACATTGAGCGGCAACGGGGTCCAAGAGGCCATCTACGTCATAGTGGAAGAACCATCCCCAATGCCAGTGTGGGGGCCTTCATCACCACCTATAAGCAGAATGTTGCGTCAACATTTTTACCCGGATGATTTGACAACTCAGACCTTCAGCCATGCAAGAAAAACAATGGACACGTCTCCCAAGCGTCATGGTCCCAGGCTAGATGGATCATCACAAATAATCAGAACAGTGTTTTCACAACGTTTCACACATTCTGGTATACGCCTGGACAATTCCCGTCTGCGTTGACACGCTCATCATGACACTTTGGTGTTTGCATGAAGCGGCTGAGTTGCCCATCAGGGGAGAGAAGCCTGGGTATATACCCAACACTCAATGGAACCAAGGAAGCGGCTTGCAGGAATAAGGAATGGTACTGACCTCTACTAAAAAGAAGCCCAGAAGATCGGGTCTAGCTGCTACCATTGTGATAGGAAGCACACTTCTTGGTGGATAGAGTTTGTTGGAGGTGTCGAAAGGCACGCTGGGGTGCGGCCGGGCGGTAATGAGAAAAGAACAGAGCTGATGCCTCGCTCTTGTTTCAAGCCAAGAAAAAGGCTTTCCCTGACCGGGAATCGAACCCGGGCCGCGGCGGTGAGAGCGCCAAATCCTAACCACTAGACCACCAGGGAGAGATGCTGCAAAAGGGCCACGGCACGAAAAAGAAGAGCACAGGCATGCCAGGAATCTACAACGGGATCATGCCTTTCGCAGTCGTCCGTGTTGCCCTTTGTGATCAAAAACGGCAGGGGCGCAAGAGGCCATCTGCGTCATAGTGGAAGAACCATACCGTAACCAGAATAGGGTGTTTTCACGTTTCACACTTTCCGGTGTACGCCTTGACAATTCTCATCTGCGTTGACACACTCGTGACACCTGGGTGCTTGCATTAAAGTGACATTTAAACCTTGCCCTTTTTTTTTTTAAATTATTTATATGGAAGGGAGGCCCAGACGGTATGCAGCTTTTATTTTTTTAAATTTTCAATTCCTATTTTTCTAGCGGGTCCCCTCATCACGGTTTCTCCTGCCCTCTGCACGGGTGACTACATCAGCTAAGCGGCTGCTGCGGAGGCACCTGTGCGTGCTCGTTCTCAGCCGTGCCCGCAGTAGCTGTGCGCGTCCATAGACACACACACACCATAAGTTGAAAAAGCAAAATATTTTATTGCCAATAGCTGCATCTTACTGCCAAGCGATTTCGGGGCCT